ATTGTTACACACTCTTGCTTACGTAGCGGACGACGGTATCCACCACTTTCACTTTTCTATTCTATTTCTATTTATTGACGCAGGCATGAGCCCACGTGAGAAAACAAAAACCACAACAACGATTGGTATACCAGTGCAAATCAAACAGAAGAAAAAAAAATCAGTGACCATAGCAGAGCAAAGCTAAATTGAGGAGGAATCAAAAATAATAATAATGAGGTAGTGAACTAGCACGAGAGGAAATCATATGAGAGAAGCCCGCGAATCCTCAAGGTTCACCAACTTTTTGGCAACAAACTTGAAGGAATTCAGAGAGAAATGCATGATGTCACGAGTAAGAAGTTTGGTTCAGGTCACCTCCAAACATCTGCGAAGCTTCTTGTACGGAGCCACCCATATACAGCTACCGGGGAGTGCTCTTGATCTGGAAGACCTCCAACATCGAGCAGCTCCGACAACGTCGCTACGGTCCAGGATATCATCTTCACCGCAGTCGCCAAGGCGCGGGTTGGTGGTATGGACCGGAAGTTCCTGGAATGGGAGGACCGATATTGTCTTCGTGGACCCTGGGCTGAAAGTGAACGCTTACATCAATCAACTTGAAGGAGAATATCCTGCCTTCATGTCGTCGCCTGTACCATCTTGGAAACTTCGTACTGCTACAGGATTGGGTGCCACACATGGAATCGAAGGGCGTTGGAAAAACTCTCGCCTACTTGGAATCGAAGGGCGTTGAGAACCTGAAGAAGACGGAATATCCAAGTGTGTCACCTGACCTAAACCCCCTCGATTACCGGTTCGGGCGGAGCTCAACAGGGTGGTCTACAGTGGCGGAGAAATCAACGACCTCGCTGAACTCAGGCACCCAATCACGGTCGCGTGGCAGAATCTCTCGATGGCTTCGTCCAGAAGGCTGTGGCGGAGTTTCGTGATAGTGTACAATGTGTTTCTGAATTCGATATTGAAAATTCCAATCAGAAGTTAATGAAGTGTAACTTATTTCGCCTTGTGAGTCGAGGAACAGAAGTGTCTTTTTTTCAACCCCTCCTGTAGGTTGAGCCGTCCAAGATTTTTATAATTCATTGGCCAACATTTAGGTTTCTACGCCTTCGTCAGATCTTTGATCTCAGCCGCAATGACGTGATATCGCACCCAAGCTGTCACTGTAAGCGGTACTACAACTGTGTTATAAAACTCTTGGACGCCTCAATCTACACAATTGCTTGAGGATACATCAATGCCAAGATCAAGAGATTCTGGTCGTTTCTAATTTCACTTTAGTTTGAAATTGAATGTATTCAGATCCTATGATGATCTATCCAAACATTGTGAATATGCTCGGTGAGCAATGACGAGTAAGATTGTGAATGCGCTTTGTCTGAACGGAGTCAAACGTACATTCTGATGATAGAGGAGAGAGAGGTAAGGTGAATTCGGGCGCAGAACAGCAGTTCTTGCTTGGCTGCATAATTGGACCAACGTCGGCTATTCGTCGGGAAAGGAGTGGAGTTCGGGGTTGGAGTGTTTGGCGCACTTCGGCGATGGGGAGGGGCATTTTGCACTTCATTGTTTCACTACTTCTAGTTTACAAGTCTTATTCTGGTGGAACTTGTGAACTCTCGTAAAGTTGGAGCTGAAGCCTTGAGTTGTCACGTTTTACCATGGTCGAGCCACCATGGCTCAAGAAACGGCTATCTAGATGGGTCGGCACATCGATGGAAAGCAGAATGCCCCCCCCTCCCCCCTCGTCGCCGAAGTGCGTCGGGCTGTGTCATGGTGGAGTCCGACAGTTTGACAGCTTGCTTTCTATTCCAGGTTGCCTCATGCGTTGTGATCAACTCAGCCATAGCCCGCTGCAGTCTACCAAAAATCTATGACTGGGGCACCAAGACTGTCTATTTCCAACCACAATCGAAAGGTGCCAATGACGAGAAGGCATTCGTGGGATACATCTATTTTGGTAAGAGTTTCACTGACCTAGTATTGGACTATTGGGAGCATCAGAAGGATAAATGTTGCAGGACGTGTTTTGTAACATTTGAGCCCTCAATCTGTGTAGCCCTTGTGTAGGCACATTTAGCGCTACGGCATTGGTGAACCAAACATTACAAAACTGATGTTTTCAGTGCCACCTACATTAGACCCGCAGAGGTTGGACATTGGTAGTCTCTACGAATGGTACAAAAATCCAATGCCAAGCTATGTGAGTACAGACGACATTTTGCGGAATTACAGTAGGAAATTCAGGTTACACTGCAGTTCGCTGCGGACGGTGGGGCGTGTCAGCCAGAATGAGTGTGCACAGCAACAAAGCCGTTCTCTGCCGTTTTGTTGAAGCGCGCATGCGACAAAAAGTGGTAGAAAACGAGTAATACGAACGATATGATACATCCTTGTCACTTGCTCGCTTCAACAACTGGTGGAGAACGAGTTGGGCACCACGCCAAACGCAGCCGCCGTTGCGGATGATGGGCGTGTCAGGGAAAGGGTGGGTTTGGCGCGGCGCCAGCACAACTCTTTTATGTTTTTTTTGGCATGCGAAAAAACTATTAGGTTGTCCGGAAAGTTCTCAGCGTTTTGGGTGCTTCACTTTGAAAAAAAACAAAAACGATCGTAACTTTTTTTTAATACTCATCGGATTTAATCGAAATAGCCACCATTCGAATCAGCACACTTTTGCCAATAGGACAGCAGTCGAGAAATCCCATTAAAGAAAAAACTGGGTGGTCGAGAATCCACGAAATCTACGAAGGTCTTTTTTGCCTGGTCCTGATTGATGAAGTATTTTCCAGCAAGGAAGTTCTGAAAATGTTTGAAAAGGTGATAGTCGGTTGGTGAAAGGTCTGGAGAATATGGCGGGTGAGGTAGAACTTCAACCCCCAATTCGTTCAATTTATGGATAGTGATTTGTGAAACGTGTGGGCGGGCGTTGTCATGCAAAGGAATCGGACCCTTTCTTTTGATAAGTGTTGGCTGCATCTGACAAAATTTTCGGTACATTTCGTCGATTTCTTCACAGTAGGACTCTGCTGTGATGGTTTGGCCTGGTGACAAAAAGTTATAGTGGATCACACCAGCCGATGACCACCAAGCCGTGACCAGAATCTTTTTTTCGTGAGGGTTCGGCTTTGTGAAAATTTACCTCGCGGGTGCGTGCTTCTGTTCGATATATTCAATGTCTCTCACTGCTGCCGCGTCAACGTCGTCCTTTTATTCATGAATGATCCATTTTTTCATCACAGCGTGACAAAGTCCGTTTTAAAAACGGCCCGTCCAATTTCTTTTGCGCAAAAGCAATGCAGAAGGAACCTCGAGACGTGCCGATTCCTGCCGGTCACTCGATTGTGGGGCACCCAATTGTCGAGTTTTTTCACCTTCCCAATGCGTTCCAGACCATCTGCAACAGTGGATTTGCCAAGGCCTAGCTCTTCTGCTATCTCTCGAACTGTTTGGGATGGGTCAGCCTCCAAAATCCCCCTAAAATCCTCGTCAGATATTGCTTTAGGTCGACCGCTATGAGGTTCATCTTCAAGGCTGAAATCTCCAGAACGAAATTTGTTGAGCCATTGCCGCACAGTGCTTTCTCTAGCACTATTGGGCCCCACACCTGGTTAATTTGTTGAGCTGTTTCGATTGCGGATTGCCCCAAACTTAGTCGAAAAAAATCGTCCAAAGTGCTCTTTTCACATGCTTGAAAAAATCTTGAAAAAAGAGGGTTTATCAAGCAATGGTGAAACGGCAATTATACCATCAGATAGCGCAAGAAATTCTCTACAGATGTGCTACTGAGAAGCAAGGCAGAATGAGTTTTTAATCAGCAGTGAATGTACAAAAATAGGTGCACAAAACGCTGAGAACTTTCCGGACAACCTAATATATCATATCACTCATATCAATGGCTTTTCATCAACTGTGGACTCGTTCTCTTCAACATCTGGTGGAGAAGACGTTTGGGGACGCGCCAAACGCCGCCTACTGATACACCCATCATTCGCACCGAACAAGACCGCATGCTTTCTGGTGAAGGAAGCGTACAAATATTCCCCGAGCAAAGGAACGGAGAGTGTTAAGCGGCGAGAGACTGTGCTATGCCATACTAACTGTCGATCGTCCTCTCGCCCAAGGTGGAAGCTGACGTTTCATCAACGTTTCGAGCTTTCCAGAGGCACGTGACAAGACAAGACCTGACGGATAAGTGCTGCTGCTCGGAGGCCACGCGCTCCTAATTAACATTAGTTTAATTCCCAGTGACTCCTGAACATTCGGTCCTCTCGAACCACTACTATGTTCAGCTTGATGCCATCATCATGGTATCACTCAAACTTCATCTCAACTCCCGACTATTCAACAACTTGAACCAAGTTGGTACGAGAATCTCGGACGACGCTCTTTATGGAGTCCAGCTTGGTCTGTACGTGATCGGATACAGAGAGTACAAGGACAAGGATGATGAGGTATCCTTTAACTGGTCATAGTAACCGTAAATAGCAAATCGCTGATTTTGCAGATCAAAAAATTCCGTCCTGAACATCGCGTTTTGGCACGCTTGGCGACTTACACCAATCGCAACAGTACGAATATCGCCTGGAAGCCTCAGGAGGAGGTTATTTAATCTCAATCAGGTAATCAGTTGAAGGCCTTTAGAGCTGTTCTTTCTTCACAGGAAGTGTCTGCTTGCTCAGGTTCAACAATGGTATTTGACCGACTGGGAGCGTTGGAACACGTTGTATACATACCGTGTAGGTTACTTGAAACTGGCTCCCATGCGACCAAACGATCAAAACGGGACGGAGATGCTGGCTGGGTAAGTTTGACACTTTCATTTTTCTGACACATTGTCTTCTTTGATCCATTATATTGCCAGTGCAGCTCCTATTGTCAGTACCAAACCGGCAATAGGGCTTCGCAATTATCTCAGAGATGATCTCCCTTCCACCTACTAGGTGGTAAGGACGGCGGCCTTACCGAACGTACTTTATTCAAGGCACGTCATACGTTGGGGATCCCCTGCCAAGGCGGGGGTGGTTGTATTTGATCGCCGGAAGTAGGGCGTTGTGTTGGCTCAGAGATAAAAACGAACCAGATAAGAAAATCCTTAAACGGAGTCCTATTTTGCCAAAATTTTCTTTAGATGCAAGGAGTAACCCTGTGTGGGAAGAGCGGAAACCTTATAGAACGTATTGCGCTTGTCAGCGTTAAGGATGGCAGAGACTCGCGACAAGTTTGAGGCCCCGTCCCACTTCCACATTTTTTCTATTCTTTGTTGCGAAGCACTCAGCTTTTACAAATTCGTGAGTCAATCTTACTACTCACATCTTGCTATCGTACAATGTGATTTGGGCATTCTATTCCTTTTCATGGGAGGGAGGGCGTTATGACGCTAACTGGTGCCGATCAGAGTCGGAGGCGGCCCTACCAGCCAAGCCATCCATCCCTGCGAGGCAGATTGGTACCAGGTAATTCAAGGAGGATTGATGCAGTTTTCCACCATCGAAGGGGGCCAAGGCGGTGCTTTAAAACAAACCGTACACTCACCTCCAAGGACTGTCCCTCTCATGTGTGAGGTAAATGGGTCCGCACTTGAACTAGCGTGCCACTTTCCCCGCTCAAAGTGCACGGGAATAGGGCTTGAGGGTGCCGTTCCCGGGTAGCGTCTCCACATTGCTTCCGCACTATCCTCAATGTGCAGCTCTTGCGCCGATATTAAGGTCCTCTAGCGAAACACGCACCTAGACTTATTAGAGAACAATCAGAACTGAGAGGACACAAACAAGTAGCGCGTTCGGCCATGGTTAGGCGTTTGGCGGGTGGCGGGGCATGCGGCAGCGCGTGCTGGAAGAGGGGAGGGGTACGGCGATGGCACCGCGATGTCATCACCCTCGTGCCCAGCACCATTACTGTGTATTTTTAACCGGAGAAAGTGGCAGGCTACTGCATTTATGGATCCACTTACTCCCCACATGAAAAGGATTAGAATTCAGTGACTTGAATGTACAGTTTTCCTCCAATGCTTCCAGAACGAGCTCTGAATGTCACTGTATAGGTCTCATATAAT